TGATTTTTGGAAGTTAACTGCGCACTTTATATACATATAAATGCAGTTAACTTCTAAAAATCATTTGACTGCCTTCCCGATGGAATTTTTAGCTGAAATTTGGTATGTATAAACTAGACTTGATGAAGAACATGCTCAAAAAGTTTTATAAAAAAATTCCACCGGGAAGGGGCCCAAACGCTGAGGTCCGTACAGAGGTCCGTTTTTGGAGGTCCTGACATGAACTTTCCTCTCTCTCTCTCTCTCTCTCTCTCTCTCTCTATATATATATATATATATATATATATATATATATATATATATATATATATATATAGACACTTTGTATTTATCTTCACTCTTCATTTTAAGAAGATATAAATAAATAATTTAGACATGAAAATACATATTTAAGCATATACTCATATCATTTTAACTTTTACACATTTCATACATTCATTATGACAAAGTTAGCTAATACGACATATTTGTATTTATTATGTTTGACGCTAACAATAACAAATTGCATTTATATTTTTACATGATTCATTTGAATAAAATTGTGAATATTACAACATTTGTACCACCGACTCTTTTAGATTTTTTTTTTGGATAGTTTATGTGATACTCCGTATTATAAATGCTAATCAACTATCTTATATTTGGTAAGAAGTGAATTTTTGTAGTGATAAAAAAGATGTTATAAGTTTTAATTTATAATATTTTATTATTTATTTTTCTATTTTTTTATTTTCTTTTACATTTTATTTACATAATCAATAGATTCATGGGAGGAGCTAGGGGAGGGCCATCCCTGGCCCTGGCCCAGCCCAAATTTTAAAAATGCTTGTATTTTTAGGGTAAAAATTCTGTGTAAAAAAATTTTCAAAATTTTTCTTTGCACCGGCTCAGTGCGGCCCAATGCCTTGGCTCCGCCCTTGAATAGATTAAAAAAAGATGAGATGGACTACTACTTTCATTTTCTAATTCTAAAATATAGAACTTGATCAAATAAAATAATAAACATAAGCAAACGAATCAAATCAAACTAAATTAAACACAATATTTTTTACTTTGGTAAACCGAACCGAAACCAAACCGAAACACAAATGGTTTTAGTTCGGTACAAATTCTCCCAACCCGAATAAACCGAACGAAACCGAAGAAAATCGAACCGTAAACCGAATTGCCCACCCTATTAATTGATGTTACTTCAGGGCATTATTTTAATTATTTCATATAATATTTTTTCAATTATATTAATAAAATATTCTGTATATCTTATGTATAATTTTTTCATAATCTCACGGATTCAATTACTTCAGCCAAGTAGTGAGAATTTTGCCAATTTAACCGATTTTGTGTTTTAAGAGATATGGGGTGTTTGGATCTGATTCTTAAAACTGATTCTGCTCCTTCAGGAAGCAGAAGCAGAAGCTGGAGTGTTTGGGTGAAATTCCAGAAGCACTTCTGGAGCTCTAATTTACTCTCATAATCAGTTTTTTTAGAAGCTAGGGGTACCAGTTTCTGAAAACTGATTCTGCTTCTGCTTCTGCTTTTAAAAAAAGAAGCAGAAACAGAATCAGTTCTAAACACCCAAGTTGTTTTTGGAAAGTAGTGGTCCACTTGAAGCATACGATAGTATATACTCCGTATATCAATAATTCAAAAAAGAAAAAAGGGATAAGGGTCAGATAGGGCCTCGAACTCGAAAAAAAATGTCAAATAAGGTCATATTTCGGATGCTCTGTCTGGCCGACGCCATTTGGGGCGGTTCCCGATGGAATTTTTTGATGAAATTTTTTGAGCATCTTTCTCACTAAGTCTAGTTTACCCATACCAAATTTCAGCTAAAAATTCAACCGGGAAGGTAGTCAAATGAGTTTTTGAAGATAACTGTGAAGTTAAACAACGCCGTACATTTCGGAAAATTATTTGACTACCTTCCCGGTTGAATTTTTATCTGAAATTTGGTATGGGTAAACTAGACTTAATGAGGAAGATGCTCAAAAAATTTCATAAAAAAATTCCATCGGGAACCGCCCCAAATGGTGTCGGCCAGACAGAGCATCCGAAATATGACCTTATTTGACATTTTTTTTCGAGTTCGAGGCCCAAAAAGAGAAAAGTTGGAATTACCGCGAAGGAACTAATGCAGTCATACAGTCATGCAACCAATCTATTGATTCTATTCTCATATGAATTTGACGAGACGTGTATGGTTTTTTCACATTAAGGATGTTTTCACTTTGGACTCTAATTTGCTGGTCTGGTCTGGTCTGATCTGGTCTGGTTTGATCTGGTCTGGTCTGGTCTGGTCTGAACTGGTCTGGTCTGGTAAGGTTTGGTTTCTTTGTATTTTTATAACTATCCAAGTCTGGTCTGATCTGATCTGGACTGGTCTGGTCTGGTCTGGTCTGGTCTGGTCTGGTCTGGGACAAATTACAGTCCAAGTAAAAACATCCTAAGTGTGTCTACATGGTGATGGGTCATATATTACCCACGCCCCCTTGGACATTGACAATTAAATGTGAAATAAAGAGTTAAAATTTTGTGGTTGAAGTTTTGTGTAAAATATGATAGGTTAGGAGATTAACAAATTATTTACTTGCTTCCAAAAAAATTTATTCGCATTAAAAGAAAAGTGGTAAATTTTACGGGACAGATAAAAAAGAAAAGTTAAAAAAGTCTAATGGAACGAAGAGAATACTTAGAGGTGGTTCGGTACGGTATACTTTATATTTTTTCTCATACCTTTGCCGTACCAAAACTTTCGGTATGCAAAATTTGCATACCTTTACCTTATCGAAGTTTCGGTATACCGCCTTTCGATATACCGAAGTTTCGGTTCGGTACCGGTACAGTATCGGTAAATTACGGTGCATATCTCCCAATACAAAAAATTATCATAGACTAACGAAATATACTAAATCGTTATTACTAGCGACATATTAAATTTTTTATTAAAATGTTACGAAATACAATTAATAATCTATTGATTTCAATTCAATATTGAACAATAATTATTATTAGTATATTTAAGCAGTTCAACATGCCACATACTCCATATTAAAAACTAACACATTCTCCTAAAATAACTTGAACAATATAGATATAATTAAATTAATAGTGATCTCTAACAAAAATAAATAAAACTATTCAAACAACATGAATATAAAATCCTTTTTTACTAATATGATATTGTGTATTTAGTCAGTTTTATAATTTTTTAAAAATTGAATAAGGCTTTCGGACAAAGTTGTGTGTCTCGACTTGTGGAATCCTTATGTAGATACACTTGTCACATAAGTATATCTCTCTTCACTCGTCTGCTACTTAGTGGCCTAGCCATAATGACTTGCAAGCTCTTGAAACAAGATGGACTTATTTCTTGACATTTGTACATTACTCATTAGTCATAAAGGTTAGCGTAGTAGAAACCTATAAGATTATAATGGGTTGAGAAATTGGGTCTTTATTTTTGTATTTGTAACCAACTTAAGTACTCCGTATTAATTTTGGGCTTCAAAATTGTAACGTATTTTTCACAATATATTAGAATTAAAAGTAATTGTTGAGTAGGAAGTCGGTACGGTATTATACCGGTATACCGCGGTATTTGAAACATTTACCGTTACCGTATCGAAATAGATCGGTACGGTATGATATCATACAGAAAAAGACGGTATACCAATATTTCGATATTTTCCGGTATTTTTTGGTACGGTAAGTGCGGTATACCGATTTTTCGGTATTTTTGCCCAGCCCTAAGAATACTACTCCCTCCGTCTCCGAAAGAAGTTCCCACTTTCCTTATTTGGACGTCCCTAATTTAAGTTCCCATTTCCTAAAATGGAAAGTTATCTACATCAAAACAGTGCCAAACAGTGCAAAACAGTGTCAAACAGTGCCAAACAGTGTCGAAACAGTGTCAAAACAGTAAAATTTACCCCCTGGTAAGTTTACTTGCATAAAAGTGTGTGAAAGTCAAGTTGGGAACTTCTTTCGGGGACGTAAGGAGTATATGAGTAATACTATTGGTATTCCATTTTTACCCCACACCTTGTGTGGTCCAAATGAGACCACACATAAAAGTGTTCCCCCATTTGTGGGCACACGATAGAGGGGTATAACTGGGATACCCCAAAATCGGATACCTCTAGCATTTTTGAAAATCACTTTTTTCTCAAACATTATAAACTTTTAGTCTTTTACTATTAATCACTTTTTTCAAATCACTCAAAAAGTGTTTTTCTTAAGCAGAATCAGTTGCAAACACTCCCTAAATGAGCTTGGGAGTTTTCAAGGGTTTTTTGATATGGAAGTACGTGATTTGATCTGGAATTTTCCATAGCTAGAGGATTTATACGACCGGAATAAAGTTTATCACTCTTTATAGTTCTTTTTTTCGTTTGCTCTCTTTCATTTGTAATTTTTGTACCACTTGTTGTTGTCTCTCATTAAGTCATTATCGTCTGATTTCAGCCCCTTGTACTTTAACTTCTCTTTTATTAATAAAATTTCTTTAAAAAAAAACAAAATACTCCCTCCGATCCGTCTCATTAGATTCTCACTTTCCTTTTCTGGAAATCCCATATAAAAGTTCTCATGCCCATTTTAGGAAACAATTAATAATCTTAAGTGATAAATTAATCATTAAATATTAAAAATAATACATTTATAACATCACACAGTTATCAATACTAACTACATTATAATATATACCTATTAAAATTATTTTCAAAATATACTTGCAGTACTTTATATAATTATTGTCTAAATAATCGTGGCTTTTTGCTAGGAAAGAATAGAGGTGGGTCCACTCCCTTATATAGTTATATGTGTAGGTCTATGATAGGAGGTGGGGTCCCACGTCAGGGATTGATGTACAGTAGCTAACTTATTTTTCTTTATACAGCTAACTTTTTTTTTTTTTTTTTTTTTAATTTATAAAAAGTACGTATAACTGTATCCCCATGACCCCATCCCTTAGCTCATAGCATTTCAAGCTTAACCAATTCGCCCATTCAACTGCCAAATATATCCATAGATTCATTCCCACCATCTTCCCCCTTCCTTTCGCTCTCTTCCATTTCTGGCCATTTTCGTGCGTATAAAGCACGCCCCTCTCTATTAAATCATCGATTTAGCGGATTGATTCTGGATATATCTGTTGACCAGTCTTCAAGAAACTTGGTCCATCAGATAATATAAATCACCCCTTCCTTTCAGTATATATATATATCTTCAATTCTCCCTGCCTTTCTATTGATCTTAACTAAAAAAGAATTGGTCGTCTTCTCGACAACTATTATTACTATCATAAAAAAACAACGGACGACATTACAATGTTGCCCAGTAAAAGCCGTGGGTTGTTCTTGTCTACAACGTTTGTAGTTGTGGTTTCAGTGGTAGTTGCTTTTGGGTTGGAAATCTGTGTGGCTCAGAGTAATATTAGCAGAAAGAGTTTTCCAGGAGGATTTGTTTTCGGAACTGCATCTTCTGCTTACCAGGTATGGGTTCTTTATGTCCTCCACTCAATTCTCATCCACCAATTGCACACGCCCACGTTTCTCTTTCTTTCCATTAGCCAACGCGTTTTATTCCGAAAAAGAATGAAGCATTTAGATGAGAAATGAGATTAGATTCGATTATGATACAATAAAATAATTTCAAGTTTCATTGAAAAGTGCAATGACAATTTTGTAAATACTTCCGAAAAATCTCTTTTAGACCTCTATAGTGTAATGTGAAGTTGTTTTAATGTAACATCGTCAAATCCGAGTGCAACATAAAATTATTTTAGTGCATCATAAATTTTAAATCCTGTTATAACACGAAACTGTTTTAGTACAATGAGGTTCATTCTCATTTCTTACTTTTGCTCATTTCTCACTTGAACCAACATCTATGTAGATATCCATATATTCATGTGTTCTTTGGTCATGGTTGAGTATTTTTCTGTTTTATTTCACACCTGGCCAATTGAATAATTGATCATTCTAAAGCTCAATTTTATCTGTGTAACGATTTCGAGACAAATTGCTTTTTGTACATGGAAAAAATAGGGGGCGTGCATCGATGCATGTTCAGAAGAAATTTTCCATTGAATAATAACGAGATCGAGTTTTTATGATAAACATCAAATCTTAATAGAGCCATTCCATATTTTGTACTCTGCATCTTTCTCTTTAAGATAGAATTGGTTTGGTACAAAAAAGAACAGATTGAGGGACAAAATAAGACGTTTGTTTTTATTATGGTTATCATAAATATTGCCCGTGAGCATGATAGATATACTCATAGTAAATTTAATTATATTTTAGCCCATAAAATTTAATTCATTGATATTTAGAAAATAAATTTTAAAAAAAAGGTGAAATGGGCATGACTTGATATGTAGTACTACGTATTATACACTTTTTTTTTGATGTCTTTCATGTGTGAATACTCAATTGCCCGTTCACAAACAAAAATATGACTGTGAACATGTTTTTATGTGAACATGTTATTCACAAGATAAAAAATAATTTGTTCACAAAGGAGTCTATTGATATATACAAAAAATCAACAGATCAATTACTCACCAAACATGACTCATCACATTACACCAACAATAGTGTACTTACATTTTTGAAATGGGTAAGAATATTTGAAGTTTTGCTATTCAAATACTTGCACTTTAGTATGACACATTTTACTTTTTCGGATAAAATGTTATTTCTATTCGAGCAGAAATATATATATATATATATATATATATATATATATATATATATATATATATATATATATATATATATATATATATATATAGGAGTTGGTTTAAGTAAAAAGTAATCTTCTCATGAAAAGTGAGAACAAATTTTAGTCTTTAATTACTTGTAAATGGATGGACGAGATGAACTTTAATCACAAAATACGAACTCAAATAATGTGCAAACGTTTATAGTACAAAGTGGATAATAAATGAATAAAAGTGCATTCATATGAGCTAAAAAAGATTGCCATTTTTTTAAAATTTGTGCACATTTTATGATGTACCGTTTGCACTTTTGTACTCTGCATGTACACCTTTTGCATATGTTGGTACACTTTTCGTGTATAATTTTTTGTCAAAAGTTCTTCATAATTACCAAAACGCCACCACGTTTTTACTTAAAATTTGATATCTTCCATCTATTTTTTTATATCAATGGCCAAGATTAGTTCTTATTTTTTACCCAGGAACCACTTTTTATTTGATCCATACTATATATATATATATATATATATATATATATATATATATATATATATAGGGATGGGTTCAAATGAGAAGACATCTTAACGTGTAAAATGAGAATTAATCTCAGCCGTCCAAAGTGTCGATCTGATGCACAATAACCCCTATCTGATGCACTTTCAAATAGACCTTATTTGGTCCAATTAAGACTTATTTTTATTTGATCCAAATTCTATATATATATATATATATATATATATATATATTTATATAATCTGATGTATAATGTGAAAGTAAGACCGCATAATTGACCATAAAGCAGCGTAGGCAGTAGAGATCATATTTTTTTTTTGACCAGAGGCCGTAGCTAGAGATCATTAAGAAATACGATAGTAAGAACTAACGTTTTCTGAGAATCACGATGAATACTTTTTATTATTAACAACGTAAAACCGGAAAGGATATAAGATAGTTGCAAATTTAGTAGCGTAAGTCTTGACTATGCTTGCTTTTGGTCGACTACTTTACTCGCTCATAAATTCGTTCATGTAAATAATAAATTTGTTCATATTTTTATTTGCCCCAAAAAATAAATAAATTTCTTCTAACTTTTTCACCATAAGGTTTCGACATTAGAAAGTACTACGTATATTTTTCGGTGGAAATTTTGATGCCAATGACATTTCTTACGATGCGTATTTTTTTTTTATTGAGAAGTGTTTTTGTTGTAATGCTTTTAAAATCGATAGATTTATTGGTAATAATATCAAATCTGCTCTAGTAAAAAATACTACGTATATCAAATCTGCAAGTGAGTAAAGTTAGGCGACTAAGAACAAACATAACAATATGTCAATGTTATTAATACTCGGAGAGGTCAATTTGACAAAAAAAATTAAACTATGAAGGTACATATGAAATATTGAGTTACTTCTTTTATCAAATTAACCTCTTACAAAATAGTTTATTGGTTCATATTTTAACACTTTGGGAAATATTTCAACATGCGAAATACAAGCACATGTAGTAATGTAATGTGTAAAAGTAACAAATTCCTCACAAGTCAATTAAACAACTTGCATATGTTTCCATACTTCATGTTCTTATGTAGTCGGCCAGACAACTCCAATTCAAACGGGTCACCATTAATATATTCTGAAAGGAGTAGTTGTTATAGACAAATGACAATAGCTAAATTAAGGTCGTTACGGATTAAAGTTCTTTTCACTCATTCAAATTTGAATTAATATAATGTACGAAGTTTGAAATATAATGTGAACGCTACGCCTCCTAGCCCGATTCATCAAAATCACATTGAAGTCCATCTAACAGAAACACTACATGCACATACACGTTAAAGGGTCGGATTGGTACTCGAAGTTGCATAAAAAAGGTCAAATAAATCCTTATATAGAAGGCTCTGTCCAGCCGTCGCCATTTGGCACGGTTCCCGATGGATTTTTTTGACGATTTTTTTGAGCATTTTATTCATTAAGTTTAGTTTACTCATACCAAATTTCAGCTAACACTTCAATCGGGAACGCATTCAAATGAATTATTTAAGATAATTGTGCGCCATACAATCATGCTTGAAACAGATCAGATCAGATCAGATCAAACTTAAACAGACCATACCAGATCATATCGGACCAAACTTTCATAGTTATAAAATACATAGAGACCACACATTTATCAGACTAGACCAGAACCAGATTTAAACATATCAGAACAGACCAACAAATTTCAGACCAAGTAAAAACATCCTTTTATATATCAATATCCAAAAATAATTATCAATTCTCACATAAAAATACTTTTTCTTTGATGTCATGTGTATGGAGTAAAAGGTCAAATTGGTCTTCGAAATTGCATAAAAAACGTGATATAAGTCCATACTCATAGTATTTAGATTTTACTTTCATCATTGACATTGTTCCACCATAAATTTACTCATAATCATCGGGGCCGGACCTAAGTCATAACAAAGGAAAAAACAATAAAGTGAGTTGGATGTTTTTTTACAATATTATACAAGTTTGGGTCAAATGCGCACCCAAAGAGCTATTTTCTAATTGGAACTTTTCGTCGTAAAAATTCAAAATAAGACTGTCGTATCAGACTTTAAATATGATAATATTTTTCAAACATGACATTAATTACTCTTATTTTGGGAATAAAAACATGACAGTATTATTTTGAATTTTTAAAACGTTTTTACTCTTATTTCAGGAATTTTCTCAATAATAAATTATAGTGCAAAAGTCTTTGAAATGAACAAATTTATTAGATATGGGTCATTATTGCAAGTTAAGTTAATAGATGACTTTATTATGATTTTGTTAAATTCGGGTTTGATTGATTAACTCATATTCGATTTAATGGTTTTCAGTTTCAGCCACATGATTTTGAGCTCATTTAGTAACACAAAATTGACTGAATCGGCAAGATTTAGTAACATGAAGTTCTGACCGAAGTGATTGATTATGCTGATTGATGAGTAATTATATTTAAAAATATTTTTTATTAATAAAATAAAGAAAAAATTATATGAAAACCATCTAATATGATCCTTTACATTAACTTCAAGTAATACATCCATAAAAGTAACATGAACCTTACTTTTTCTTATTATTACACAATTTAATGTGCAAAATAAAAAGTTACGTGTTTCCTCTTCTACCATTTGTAAGCTGAGAGGAATAAAACATTTCCTTTTGTAGGAGAGTTTGGCATCCAGATAGCCTTAGCCTCTTTTCCCCCAAAATGAAGTAGGTGAGGGAGGGAGTTCAATCCCTCGCTCCCAAGTTTCTCCATAACCGTAGGTATGGTTAAGGGTGCTGTGATCCTGTCCCTTAGCACATTTGAAGTTCGATAATTTTTTTTTTCATGTTAAAACTATTAAATTGTTATGAAATTTTATATGAATGAGACTAGACATCTACAAGACTAGACCAGACAAGAAAATTTGAGTCCAACTATTGAGAGATTTGGTTGTGCCAATACTTTATACACACAATACTTTTCTACAATATTACACTTTCAAGGATCCAATAGAAAGTTAAATTAGTGTCTGATTTCAACCTGGATTGATATTGGGAACGGGGAAGTAGTAATTAAAGTGAGAAATCACCAAACTAATCCAACCTGTGTAAAGTTTATTGAGACAATGTTTCTAATCTCCTTTCATTAATTTGAAGAACTTATATATATAGTTATATAGTTAGTCTCTTAATCATTTTAACAATCTGGTTAGTCACATGATTTGTAACTAATTCTCATCTTGTGATATTTGTGTAGTATGAAGGAGCTGTGAATGAAGACGGAAGGGGTAAAACTATATGGGACACCTTTGTTACTAAAAGAGGTAAATTTGCAATTCAAGTATTCTGAATCATCCTTGTTACTGAAGCACTATGGCCTTATTTTATTCAGATAACTTTAAATTAGTAAACAAAATTTAAGACCAATAAAAAAAATATACTACCTCCGTCCCATTTATATTGGGACGGAAGAGGGTGACACGGTTATTAAGAAAAGTGGGTTTGTATGGTTGATATTAATTGATAAAGTACGAATAAAGTAAGAATGATTTAGAGCCACACAAACTTTGCCAAACATGATATGAGACAATTTAAGTGGGACTTCCCGAAAAGGTAAAAGAGACAATATAAATGGGATGGAGGGAGTACTAGCATCAGCTCAATTTCTGAAATGGACCAATTATCTATCAATATTCAATATTGCAGGGAAAATACTTGATTCCAGTAATGCTGATGTTGCATTAGATCAATATCATCGGTATGAAGTAAGTTTCTTTGTGATTATTTAAGTGCGATACTAGCCTTTATTTATTATTGTTGTGACTATTGGTATTGGTATGTTGTTGGATATTCTTTTATAGTTATTATATATCAAACTATCACTACATTAAATCAGCGTTTCATACAAAACCTCAAATTTGTTTCTTTTTCATCACATACAGGAAGATGTTCAACTAATGAAGGACATGGGAATGGATGCATATAGATTTTCTATTGCTTGGTCAAGAATTTTCCCCAGTAAGTTTTTTTACTTGTTTTCAATGAGTAAACATAGAAAATTAAAGGAAGTAAGTTTGGAAATTATTGTTTATGCTTTATCATGGATAGATGGAACGGGTGAAATCAATCAGGCTGGGGTTGATCACTACAACAAACTCATTAATGCCTTACAGGCAAAAGGTGATCTTTCTTTTGAGGTCTTCAATTTGTATATAAATTTCTTTGTAAAAATTCTCCTCGGTTTTATTGTTGTTATTTTCATTTAATTAATCTTTGTATGCAGGAATTGAACCATATGTGACACTTTACCATTGGGACCTTCCTCAAGCACTAGAAGATAGATACACTGGTTGGCTCAACCGACAAATCATGTAAGTAAAAGTTTCCTGCCAAATTAGTCCTCTAAACTACTCCTCCCGTTCCAAAAGTGTTTGGCGTACATGACAATTACAAATGATCTGAGTAGATCATACATTCACATCCTACATTTAAGCTCTTCACTTTATGGGATATCTTGATTTCAAGTCAGAAGTCACCAAAAACTCAAATATGGAAGTTTGTCTCAAATGATTATCTTCTTGCCCCATAAGTGCAATGCCCCACCTCAATCAACATGTGTGTGGTTTAGCTTATTGATGAGAACCTGAAGGTGTTGACTACTTAGTAGTTTTCTCCCAGAAAATTTGATGGGAAACCATGCACACACTTAATATCTCAAGGTGATTTATTGTGGTGTATAGATGGCCTTCATGAATGATAGTTTGTATTACTTAAAGTTATTTTCCCTACAAAATATACTTATACTCTAAGTTGAATACACCTGACCAAAGACAAATATCACAAAGCTTTTGGGGCATATGGAGTGTGTATTTACATGAATGCTATGATAGCTTTTACTAATAAATGTAACTAACCCAACCTGGAAAACTTCCAGAAACGATTTTGCAGCATATGCAGAGACTTGTTTTCAGAAATTCGGAGACAGGGTCAAACATTGGATAACCATAAATGAGCCGCATACGATTGCTATACAGGGTTATGACCTGGGGTTTCAGGCACCTGGCCGCTGCAGCATACTCCTTCACCTCTTATGTAAGGCCGGGAACTCTACAACCGAACCTTACATTGTGGCTCACAACTTGCTCCTTGCCCATGCAACCGCAACTCGCATCTACAAAACTCAGTATCAGGTACATACACTGTTTAAAATTGGTTGAGATCATTTAAATTGCCATAAATCCGTTTAATGAATTTGGGAGATCCCCCATTCTAAATGCTTTATATTGAAGGTTTTCAATTGGACTTATTTCAGTCTCAATTAAAAACGTTCTCACGCCCCACATTATACAGATTATAATCCAAAATCAATAAAACGGTCATTGTCAGACTCTACATCTAAGAGACTAGCTTGTCCTATTTAAGACCTTGAGATCAAATTTCTATAGTACAACTTTGTCAGGATCACCCACATGTTTCCAATTTAGTTCCATTTTCATTGTTTTAGATGGAGAATACAATCGAATAAACCTTATATGTTATTTCAAATCCATCATTTAGATAGCCCGACCGGTCACAAAAATGCGCAATTGGCATTTTGAAATGGCACTCTTGAACTATCATGGAGTAGTAATCATTCTGAGTAATTACGCCTGTGATTGTAACTAATCAGAATCATCCTATCCTATCTTATTATGACCAAACATGACTGCTAAAAACTGGAAATAATAGTCGCATTAAGTCATTAAGTGAAGCATTATTCTTAACGATGTTGTGCATTGTTTACAGCCAACACAACGCGGAAAGATTGCAATATCATTAGACACATTCTGGTACGAAGCCCGATCAAACTCCACCGAAGACGTTGAAGCCCAACAGCGAGCTCTTGACTTCAAATTTGGCTGGTAACTAATTTTAAAGCTTACTACCTCTGGTCTTAAACAAAGTTCCTAATTTGATTGTACGGTTTTTAAGAAAGTGAGTGTAAAGTAAGTAATTAAAGTTAGAGTATAAGTGTAGATTTATTTTGCACCTACCGAAAAATAAAAGTAAGAACTTTATTTAAAATCGGAGGGAATATATTAGTTTAAGGTTGTGCAACATTCATGGCTTCATGCATGTTTTCAAAGTAATTCTGAAACACCAAATTACTTGCAAGTTGCAAGTTACAAAGAATGTAATGAAGTTTCAATTGATTTCAGGTTTCTAGGGCCATTAATCAAGGGGGACTACCCTAGCTCAATGAGAAACAGGATAGGGAATCGACTACCTATATTCTCTAAAGCCGAGTCTGCCCTTGTTAAGGGATCTTTTGACTATATCGGTGTAAATCACTATACTACATGGTATGCAAGCAACAACAAAACCAACATAGTGGGTACACTCCTCAAGGACACCATTCCTGACTCTGGAGCTCTTACTCTCCGTATGTATAGTACTTCCGTCATTTCTTTCCTTCATGTTATCAGACTTGAAAGCTTTCATCGGCGTAACAAAAGTTGTCTATTGGGTTGGATTACTTCAAAGAATCCCCCCAGTGATCAAGGGCATGGGGAGCCGTAAACAGGGCTAAAAACTCCCTTTGAGGAGTTTCGAACTCGAAACCTCCTGTATAGGAGAGCGAGTCGACAGTCATTTGAGTTGGATCGCTTCCTTAACACAGAAATTTATACACATATTGCCAGTTATTTTTCTTAAATATTTACTTGATGTGGATGGTTTAACCACTGTGTTGTTATATTCTTTTTCACCAGCTTTCAAAGGTCTCATACCAATAGCAGAAAGGGTAACTACATATCATGGCTAACTAATAAGTACAATGTGATTAACATTCATTGAAAGGGATATCGATAAAGTGATTACTAAATTGCAGGCTAGTTCAATATGGTTGTACATAGTCCCTCATGGGATAAGAAGCTTAATGAATTACATCAAGGACAACTATGGGAACCCTCCGGTCATGATCACTGAAAACGGTAATTTTGTTTCTCGATCTATGTCCATGTTATGAACTCGTTTGATAACGCTCGAATTGGCTCAATCGGCTGAATATATTGACTTAATTATGGCTTAAATGACCGAATCTATTCATTTATGGAAAGAAAATAAAAAAAAAATTAACAATGAAATAAAAAAAATATAATGTGAAAAAGCTAAAATAGTTTATTCATCAAATTAATCAAATTTAGTCAGAAGAATAGTTTCAATCTTGTTAATTTTGATTATTACAAAATTTAGTTATGTAAAATCAACATACTCTATATCTTGATTGATATATAAGCGGAATAGAGGTCGCCAAACAGGCTTTAGGTCTTATGCTATGAGGGATCTTAGTAACATGATTGGAGAATGAATGATGTCTAAATGCAGGAATGGATGACGCTAAGGGAGACGGTCTACATGACAAGAAAAGAATAAAGTACCACAATGACTATTTGACAAACTTGCTAGCTGCTATCAAGTAAGTAATGTGGAGAATTTCAAGTTTTGTATTTCTTCAGTTCTTGAATAAATGCAGTATTCTAAATTTTATACTCCGTATTATTTAAATGTCCGACTTTGATTACGCTTTATTTATTAATGTATCAATGTGTGTGTGTCTATATATATATATATATATATATATATATATATATATATAGAATAGAGATCAAATACAAAGCCTTCTTAATTTACAAAGTACAAACTCATCTTGACCGTCCGATGAGTTGATCCAAAGGACATAAAGGCAAGGTGGCATTTTTGTAATAAAACTCAACTTTTTAGGGTGCAACTCGTTGCACCTTAATGTGCAACTGCTATTTTTATGACTTTATAATGTGCAATACTTTGAACCTCAATATGCAATGCAAATAACGTCAAGGTGCATCGTACAAATATTTGCACAATAAGCACACTTTGTACTTGATCTTTCCCCTATATATATATATATATATATATATATATATATATATATATATATATAGGGTAAGGTTCAAGTGAGAAGAGCCCTTTAGGTGAGAAGTGAGAATGAATCTCAACCGTTGGATTCGACTAAGTTGCAGTAAAAGACACTTCATGATGCACTGAAATATGCAATCTAGCACGGTGGCATTTCTGTAAATACTTCTGAAAAATCCGTATTACACTTGTCTAGTGCAACATGAAGCTATTTCGGTGCAACGCCATTAAATTTTAGTGCAATATGAAACAATTTTAGTGCAACACTGCAAAAATTTAAATGTTACTGCAACATTAAGCTATTTTTAGTGCAAACACGTAAATCTAATGGTTGAGATTCATTCTCATTTCTCACATTAGATTCATTTCTCACTTGAACCAAAATATATATATATATATATATATATATATATATATATATAATTATATATATATAAGAGGAACTTTTTAAGAGCATACGGCGTGCTACATAATCTTGCCATGTGATCATATATAACAACTAGACATAATACCCGTGCGATGCACGGGTACATCTAGAGCATAATAACAACTTGTTTAAAATTAACTTTTAGTATGATAGTACTCCGTATATAATATGAAATTATTTTAAACAAATAAAAATATTAGAGTTTAAATGTTGTAGCGTTGATTGTATATAGATAGTATAATGGTATTTTTTTAGGGAAAGAGAAAATGTTAATCGCATGAAAAATTGCAAGTTAAAATGAAGGGTAATGTGTAAAAATAAGCTATATATGTGACAATGAAATACCACGATACTACAATTTAAGTGCCCTTTTGGCAACCTTATTTGCCTAAGACATAAGTTATGATTTAGCGCATTCAAATGTGTAATAACCAAAATAAGTAGGTTAAGCTACTTTACCGACTGATTTGACAGAAGTTATTGTTGTTGATCATTTTAGCTATTTTTTATATGAGTTTTTCTTAATTATGTTGATAAAATATAATTATTCGTAACTTAGGAGATTCAGCCAATTAAGCCATTTCAGTCAGAACTTAATGGATTTTAATCATCTGATCAATTTTGACTCCTAAGACCATTTGGAGTGGTTAGGAGACTAAAAAATTAAAAATGGACTCCGTTCATATGAAAACAGTGTTTAGACTCCTATTCCTTGCATCCTAGCACCGTCAATAAAATACATTCAACATATTTTTTCACATATCAATTTAGTAAAACATTAGTTAAATCATCATAAGTTATATTTTCAATTTACTTTTTTCCCTAAATAATTATGAAATAAAAAATGCATATTTCGATGTAAAAATAAATAAATTTCATTAATTTTTTTTACGTTATTCGGTTAACAAAAAATGAATTTAGTCCAAGTAAAGTTTTTTTATGGAATATTTAGTTATGTGTAGAGGCTTCATGAATTAAAAATTTGTGTCTTGTGTTTTTTCAGGCTCAAGAAAATTTCAATAGTTAAAACATAAGATTTTTTTTTTCATTTTATATATTACATGTTAGTGTCATATGAAAGATAATAAAAACTCGTAAATTTTGATATATCTTTTGAAAAATTTGGAGAACAAATAAAAAAGTTATAAGAGTTTTAAAAAATTTGGGATTAAAATGATGCAGGGATGACACCATCCTCACATCCATACAATGCATTCTTGTCATTCCCTTCCCTATTTCTTTTCTTTTTCTTTTTTCCAATCCTACCAACCCACCCTCTATTTCTAACACCCTTCATCCTCTCTTTCATTTTTAATACTCTATTTAGTCTACCACTACATGAAATTAGGAGTCCAAAAGTTCCATCTTTAACATTTTGGACTCCTAATACTACACCACTCCAAATGACCTAAGGAAGCTTTAAAAACTAAACATTCATATGTGCTTGCATTGTACAAAAAAGATCATAAAATTGTACAATATTATTAATGATGTTGATAGCACCACCTTCTTATTACTACTACTATTGTATTATCTCTTTCATGCTAATTTTTTAGAATTATTTTTTACGTTAATTAATAAAAGTACGGATGCCATATATTTATAAAATCTCAATATCCTAGTTAAGATAAGTATACCGCGTACATATATCATTATAGGTTTCAATCACCACACAAATCTAACTTTAACAAATAAAATGATATATGTAGTATATACCGTATTGGATAAATCTCTAACAACCATGAATGACTAACATATAACATTGTTACATTGGTAATGGGTAAAATTATCTAATATCAATAATGTCACATACCTAACTTCTATATATCATCTTTGTTGCTTTCATTAAATACCCCGTAAATTTTTTAACCTTAAATTTTGGGAATATAAGATTCTATAGTTAAAGCACCTTTTTGTCTAATATGGTGCAAGGGTTACTATGATTCCTAACTAAATGTATTGGGATTAGTTAACACATCTAACTTTGATTCCATACTATATTAAGAGACCATTTGGTAACATTTCAATTTCCTGAACCGGCTCATTTTGTTGAAATTGATGAAGTCCCAGTTAAAGTGACTGAATTTGCTGAATTTGAGGATTGCTTTATGAACAAATACTAAAAATATATTTTACTATAAAAATATACTGAGTAGAAAAAAATACATGACAATAGCTAAACAGTACTCTACAGAAATTTAGTCAATTCAGGTAGAAAAGAAACTTCAGCCTTATTTATTTTGATTATAAGACAATGTTGCACACGAATTCAAAAGTTATGTGTGGTGAAAAATTGACGTGTAAGGCTGATAAGCCGAAAAATAAGGTCATCAAATGAGCTCCAAAAGTGGACGATTTTTAATTATTTCTTTAAATTCAGATCACACTTTTTTCATTTTGTTTCAGTGTTTTTTTTGTTGGGATAATTTGACTTTGCACCCCATTTTATTATTCAAATTGAACTTTGCACCATGTTTTTAAAAATCTATGTTCTTGCACCCCAACCGCGTATGAAAACACAACAATGCCCCTTTATTAGCAATTATGTTGGCCTTCAACATATTCCTAATCGAGGGGCACTAGCTTTTCTCTTTTCATACGGGGTTGGGATCGATGCAAAAACAAAGATTTTTAAAAAGGGGTGCAAAGTTTAATTTGGACAATAAAATGAGTGCAAACTCAAATTGCCCTTTTTTTATATCTCACCTTACGTATGAAATTTTATATTTACTGATTATCATTTATAACTTTATATGTAATGAATGGATTTCAAAGTATAAAATATGAGGATTTCTTATTGAAAGGTTAACTGAGTCATGACTGATTAATTTACACATTACTTTTTTATATTAATTTTTTAATACAAACGGAATCATCATATTTGGGCAGATAGGCAGTAGTGTTGAGCATTTAATGAAAAGAACATACTCACTATTTAATTAAAACGTAACTCCATATTGTACTTGATGATAATGTATTATTGCATAATAGTCTTGTTTAAAATTAAATCAGTTATGGTAACAACTTTGGTAACTCTTATATTTTCATCAAGTGTATTTACTCATAACATGGAAACTTTCAAAGTGGCGGACGTTTTTTTTTCCATGGCAATTTAATTTACATATTTGTCCTTTAATGGGAGGAAATTTTGCCTCCAAAGTATGTAGCAACTTTGACTTTATATTATATAAGATAAGATTACTTAATTACAGAGTACTTTTTATACCTTTTTTTTATTACATTCTATTATTTATTGCATATTGATATGGAAAGAAAATATTGTAGGATAGAATCCACCTTACCTGGTAAGTTTTTCAAGACCTATTAGTCTATTACTTACTCCGTATTGATTTGGATAGTTATTAAATTAAGCAATTGGAACCACAACAATATAATAAATAGTCATCCGTACACATATACTATATTTTATATCAATTATTTTATGAAGTTCTGGCTGAAGTGGCTGTATTGGCTGATTATGCCGATTTATGAAAAAATTATATTTAAAATATATTTTTAAATAAAATAAAAAAAAATGAAAAAATAGTTAAAATGGCCATCTACATTAACTTCATCCAATACTTTAACTTAAAAATGAAATTGATATATACTACTTCCTCCGGTCTATAATTCTTGCAACATTGTGATTTTTACACTATTCACAGATCTTACTTTGACCATGATTTTATACTAATATACATAATCAAATTATTACGTATAAAATGTTATTGATCTCTTATCAATGTGAATTTCCAAAATATCAACTTTTTATAACGTTTACTAATACATAATTGAATATAATTACAGTCAAAGTTGTGCATTGGCAACCGTGAAAATCAAACTGTTGCAAGAATTATAGAACAGAGGATAGTATTAGACGTTCATATATGAAAACACCTAAAAATTTATTGATCAAGTACGAAGTATATATATGATCAAGTAGCTTACCTTTATCAGGATGGAAATTCATATCCTACATATAAATATATATGTTTATACTCCCTCCGTCCCAATATAAAAGGCACATTTGCGTTTCTAGACATTTTAAGGGTGAACACTGTTTGAACACTGTTTGGCACTGTTTAGTGTTTGGCACTGTTTTGCACTGTTTTGTTTGCCAAAAAGGGAAATGTGCCTTTTATATTGGGACGGACCGAAAAGGAAAGTGTGCCTTTTATATTGGGACGGAGGGAGTATATATTTTCACAAGTAAATACGTTTAGCTGTTTCTTTATTGAAAAAATTCCATTAATATTACTCTTTAAAATGTGATGGACAAAAATATTACTTAGTAAGTACTACCTCCGTCCTCCTAAGTTTGGGACAATAGAAGGTGACACATTTATTAATAAAAGTGAGTTTATGTGGTTGATATTGAATTGATAAAGTAAGAATAAAGTAGGAATGATTTAGAACCACACAAACTTTACCAAATAAGGTATGTGACAATCTTAATGGGACGGACCGAAAAGGTAAAATGAGACAATCATAGTGGGACGGGGGAGTATTAGTATAGTAACTATATTAATGTTTAAATTTACATCTTAGTAACTACATGTAAGTTACTATGATGTAAAGTTTAAACATAACTATAGTCATTACTAATAGTTACTAAGAGTAATACTTTTGTCCACGACTTTTTATTAGTAACATTTAAGGAAAAACTTCTTCTTTATTTTTACAACTATAATTTAAATGTTCCTTCACTTTTGAAATAGCTTCCTAATCCAAATTAGGAAATCTTCATACATTTAGGATGTTTTTAATTGGAACAATTTCAATCTCAGACAAGATCGGATCAAACATCAATCACAATAATAATAATAATAATAATAATTATTATTATTATTATTATTATTATTAAAATTATACATACATAAAATAGACATCTTTCGCATTGTATTACTCCAGATCAAATTAGAACTAAAAATGTCAATCTAATTCAAAAATATCCTTATTAATGACGTTTTCAATGTGACGAATTAAATGAGTAAATTGTAAAAATGATCCATTTTTTACATTTTCAATGTGACGAAATAATGATTAAAATGTAAGATCTTACTAATAAAATTTACAAATACTTATTTCATACCATGTTGAATGAGAAATATTAAAAAAAGTAGTGTTTTGAGATGCTTAATGAAGTAATATAAAGGATGTGAAATTAATTAAGAAACCTTTGTGTGAATTCTTTAAAACCGAGTTCATAACAATTATGTTTAGTTGAGATGCTTATGTAGAAGTCCATTTTAATATATTTCATATAAATTTTAATTTATTTTATTAATTATATATGTAACTCGTAGTATATTATATTTTACTTTTTCATAATTAATTTTGGAGATTTCGTCAATTTAGCCCAATCAGTTAGATTTAATTCATTACAGTAAAGTCAGACAATTCAACCAATTTTAGTATTATCAAATGGCTTTATATTAGACCGAGTTTATTTTGCTTTTGCATCGCATTAAATTATATATGATTTTGAAAATATCAATTTTACAATTAGCTAAATTATGTATTGCCCGTGCATCGCACGGGCTTGAAAATTAGTTATTATATGTTTTTTAATTAAAAAAATATTGTTAATTTTATCTCATCGTAAATTTCAAAAATCTTATATTTTTAGTTTTTTTACTAATATAGAATTATATATATAATGGAATCTGGATTGTTGTACTCATTTAAGAATGCAAGAAATATTGTACATTTATATTGTCTTGAGAATTAAAGAGGTAACAAGTGTGTTCCCTTTTTTTTCTTTTCATTTTGGATTGAAATGCAGAGAGGATGGTTGCAATGTGCAAGGGTATTTTGTTTGGTCATTGTTGGATAACTGGGAATGGACAGCTGGATACAATTCAAGATTTGGTCTCTTTTATATTGACTTTAATAACAACCTGAAGAGAATTCCTAAAGACTCTGTCATGTGGTTCAAGACATTTTTAGCTTCAAAAGTGTGATTTATCATACGAAGTATATTTTACAGTGTCATTTTTATTAATTAATTAGTATCTCCTACAGAAAACTTACAAAAATGATTACTCCTAGTATTATCTAAGTTCGTTTTCATCCCATATTTCGAATGCAAGTTACTTCTACTTTCATTTCCTTTCTACTAAAAAAAATTGAATAACGCTTTGAACTTTTTCTTTCACAAATTTTGATCGTTATTGATATTCCAAAATACAACTTTTGGCCGCTATTTTTCTTATTTCTTCATTAGCTATTGCACATACTTTTTTAATAGATAAATTAATGAAGTTTCATTTCTTTTAATGATATTAGTTATTTGAACAATTTCGAATTAACTAAAATGTACATCATTTTCGTCCAAAAAAAATGTACATCATTTTAAAATTATTTGAAACATTATAAACTTCGTATGATGGATGGCTGCAAGACCAAGATGACAAAAAATATTAATTAGTGTTCATTGTAGAGATCGATGCACTTACCAATTTATCTCTTCAAGATGTAAAAAATATGCTATTAGAATCTTCATATACATTTTTCAATTTGGATTGTTTATATTCAAAGAATTAATTTCCGTACAGTAATTTATATTCAAAGGCGTGCAATTAGGCGTCTCTTTGGTAGAGCAGACCCACCTCAAATTCGAAAAATGATCATATTTATGTTTTAAAAAATTAATTAGGAAATTATTAATTATAAGAAAATTTTATGTATAATGGCCTATCCTATTGTTTTCCTGGTTACCTCAGTCCTATTAATTTAGTATTATAGTTCTTATATTGTTTTCCTAGTTACCCCAACTCAGTCCTGGTTATCACTCTTACTGTTTGCCCACACACATTATTATTTATTAAGTTAAATTTAATATAAATCTCAAAGTCAATTAAAATTGTCTACAAAATTTACTTTAAAAGTAAAAATCAATTTATTATCATAATTATGATTCGTAGTTGTTGGTCATGATTTTTCAACTTAGCTACTCTCGTGGAACAAATATTGAGAATAGTTAAGGGAGAAGATTTACTATACGAATAATATTCATGGAATACATAAAAAAAGGTCGTTGTTTAAAGTATGTGTTTTCAAATTCTTGGCGCTTTTCCATCACGAACATTAAAATCTTATTTAATTTGAAATTCATCTGGGTGAATTAATCTCAATGACATTTCTTCTGTGCAGTGGCGTATCCAGCAAAATATGTCAGCGGGGGCGAACTTACATTGGGTTAAAAAAATCGCCAGAAAAATATGACCAATCAAGTTAAGAAAATTTGTAAAATGAATTATAAATAAATGAATAAACAAAGGGAAGGATCAAGCGTGAAGCATGTACCTATAATTAATTTAAATTGCAAATTCACAAGTATATTAAAAAATTAGTTTATATTATGTACAAAAATTTAGTAGTAATTGTTAAAGTTTATGAATCATATGTGAAAATAAAATTGTAATTATGTAGTTAAGGTAGTTTAGATCTTTCCAAGAAGATTAGAATTAAAAAGAACTATGTGAAGCCACTTTTATTTAGTTTAAGGCTTCAAAGGGCAAAAAGCAAAAATAAAAATACAATAGAGGAAGCTGCGTTTTGAACACTCAACCTTAAAGATGGATAATTAAACGTGAATTACTCGTTACAATAAAGAGTGTTTGTATGAGCTTAAAAAAGCACTTTTTGTTTTTAACTTAAAAAAGGGATTAAGTCTCCAATATTACTAAAAATTAGCAAATGGACAAAAAAGTGAACTTTAAAAAAAAAAATCCAGAAATGTGATTAAAAAAGGTTGAACAGACTACTTTGCCCTTACTAAAGCCCAGCAGACCTGCTGCAGTGACTAATATGTTACAGTGACCAATTGACCAATACATTACAATAACCTATGTCCCAGTGACCGATGATACAGTTACTATATACCCCAGTTACTAATGACACAGTTACCAACACTTAGTGACCCAGCTCTAGTGACATCCCGACTACCATGACATCCGACTCCAGACCACCCCGATCTCAGTGACCAAATTGACAGTTACCAACGCTCAATGACAATCGCCTCACTAATCACCCGAGTTCTAGTAACCACCCGACTTTAGTGACCACTCGTCTTCCAGTGACCAATTGATGTCTGCCGTCTAAGAGCATTTCCGCCCAGCCCTGGCCTGCCAGTCTGCCCATGCCCCGCCCCACCAGTCCACCTGTGCCCCACCAGTCAACCCCTTCACAACCAGCCCACCCCAACCCTGCCCATATCACACTACACTAGCCGACATTGCTCCACCACCACAGGAAACCACCACCGGAACCCCGCCAGCTAACTGCCAACACTGCACTGCGACGTACACTGGCCAGTGACCACCACGGTACCCAACCAGTGCCTCCGCCGACCACCACCGCCCACCCTGATCTGACTCCCCAGCTCTCACACCCCCAGCCCCCAGCCCTCTCCGGCACCACCCTCCTCCACAGCCATGCCCCGCCAGCTCTGTCGCCTACCCCACCAGCCCATCCTTATGCTCTAGTGACAGATCCGCCACCACTTGCACCGACCAGATCCGCCGCCACTTGAACCAGTCAGATCTGTGAAGCCTAGCCGCGCGCCATGAATAGATCCAACATCGTCGATTCGTCGTTGCCTCGCTACAACCGCCACCGTCTGCCACGTAGCCACCAAACCCTAGCGCGGTCTGATTTCCATCTCAATTACCCCTCGCCATGAAATCAGCAATCGATTCGAGAAGAAGAGAAAAATGGAGAAGATGAACCTGGAGGTCGGCGACGATGCTCCTAGACATCGACGACGATGGAGGTGCTCCGACAATGGAGGTGCTCTGGCGGTGGAGCAACTAATAGATGGCATAAATTCGTCGGAGATGACAGAGCTTCAAAGGAGATGGCAGATATTCAACGGAGATGGCGGAACTTCGAAGAAGATGGCAGAGCTTCAACCGTCGTCACTGATGCGATGATGGATGCGGCGGACATGGATGCTCCCAGTGCAGGTGAGGGAGACGAGCGGATTTCAGATAGGGCAAATGATTTGTCGCATATGAGAGAATTATGTGAGGGGTGTTTCTGTCCCCTCAATTATTATTGGTCTTATTTTTGTCCAAATTTAAAATGACCTTTACTTTTGTCTTTTAAGTGTGTGGTAGTATTAGTCCGGTCATTATTTCAAATAAGCAGAAAATGGTGTTTCCAAATTGCAACTTCTAATTAAAAAAAGCACTTTAAAGCTAAAAGCTGGAAGCTGATATATACCAACTTCTGGTATTTTTGTAATTAAAATGAATTCTAAGTATGATTATTATGGCAAACATTTTAGGCCAAACCCAAAACAACCCTGCCGTGTTGCAATCCGTTTCGCCATTCCCGTAGCTTCACCCACAGGCTACAACACTCTACCTCCTGGCATCTCAAGCAAGATTTCCATATCCAAAAATTTCAATAGCTTCACAGTATATATCTTTGCAACCGCAAGCAAGATTATCATCTCCAAAACTTGACATCTCAAGAGTCAAGCCATAATTTAAAGATACGTATTTGAATTTCTATATTGAATTTCTAGGCAAAAGAAAAACATGAAGAATCAAATTGGGTTTTCACGAAGAAAGAAAAAATAGGGAGAAGATAAAGATTGGGTAATTCTATTCATAGCCCCAAAATTACTATGTACAACACTAAATTAAATTTTAATTAATTAAATTAACCCAAACACCTAATTTACCCTTATCATAACACAATCATCCTTCCTCTTTGCCGAACGGTGGAACAACCATCTCCGTTCAATCCGGACAAAGGTTCTGCGCAAGTGATCTCACACTTCGAAACTTGAAAATCTTATCTCCGGAGTTGTACGTGTGATCAGTGTGATGTCGAATTAAATTTTGCATCTTCTTTTGAGTTGATCATGTTGGAAATATTTAATATATTTCAAATAAAAACTTTTGATTTAATTAGTGTCTAATTTAATTAATGACCATGCACTTAGTTGTTGTTTTGACCGAGTGGGTTTTCTCAACTACTCCCTATCTTCTAACGTGCAGATTTTTACTTGGCTGAGCTTTTTCCTCTCCATATTTTTAGGATCAATAACAATATTATTGTTCCATCCTTTTTCTATTAATAAATGAGAGTGCTCATTCTGTGGAGATAGTTCACGAACTATTCTGCTAAACACCAAAACACTCTGCAACTCTCTGTCTTCTCCAAGTTTTACATTTAGAAAAAAATGCTTTCATACAAAAGCTTGTGCTGGATTAGTATGGTGATTTCCCTCGTAGTTCTTGTTCCGACTTATTGTCGAAGGGCTCGTTTAATCCTAGGGGAAGATTTTCGTTCACCGGAAATACTTTCAGAGGACAGCGTTTACGCGTCTCGAGCCGTTGATTCTTTTGTTAGCTTTCTTTGCAGGTGTATCATTGTGTTGACGATGCTAGACCTGTGTACCTGCGGCAGAACTCCTTCAAATATGCATGAAGATGGAATAAGCTGGTGCCATGCAAATAATAAAGAGGATGATACGGAGGAATTTCCATGCCGCTGCAAACTGCCGGAGGGGAAGATAGAAACTGCTCGCCGGAGTGCTGCACGTTCACCGGACAGAAATGGACGGCCAGGAGCTAAGGATGAAGTCAATTTATCAACAATCTTTGAAAGTATCACTGGACGAGGCATGCTCCTGCGACTCCATTCAAATGGGCTGCTGAAATCCTTGTTTACAAACAGGCTGCGTAAGTTGGTATTTATATCAATTACTTTAGTCTGGGCAGTTTTATGTATTCGAGAATCTGCATATGTTATGTTAATGCAATTTGTGATAATTTTTATTGTTACCCTATTCACAATAAGCCTTATTTTAATCCCACTTATTATAAAATATGTCATTTTATGTGATAAAAAGACAACTATGAAAAACAACAACTCACTTAAATCAAAATTAAAATTGATTAAAAGTGATGATGTTTTTGTTGTGGTTGTTTCTCAAAGTTGTAAAATAAATGATGTGAATGAATGGATGGTAGACTCCGGGGCTACCAAGCACATTTGTAAAAACAAAAGTGCTTTTACCTCCTATAGTACCACCACGGGAGATGATGAAGAGCTCGTGTACCTAGCGGACTCAAAAACCGCAAAGGTGCACGGTAAAGGGAAAGTTCTTTTAAAACTCACGTCGAGGAAAATTTTATCACTAAATTAAATGACGTACTTTATGTGCCCGAGATTCGGACTAATTTAGTTTCCGTTTCTCTCTTGGTAAAAGTTGGGATTAAAGTATCTTTTGATTGTAACAAAATTGTTATGACCAAAAATGATGGTTTTGTGGGCAAAGGCTATTGTAAGAATGGACGTTATGTGCTTAGTATTCCGAAATTAATGCGTGAAAATGCTTCTTATTTGATTGATTCATATGATGTGTGACATGCAAGATTAGGACATGTGAGTGATTCTTATATCAATTTGTTGCGTGATCGTGGTTTGATTTCTAGTGGAAAGAAATTGACACTAGAAAAATGTGATATTTGTGTTGAGTCAAACCAAACCGAAAAATCATGTCCTACCACACATAGGGAATTAAAATTGCTTAAGTTAATTCACACGGATTTAGGTGATTTAAATTAAAAAATACCATGACTAGAGGTGGTAATAAATTTTATGTCATCTTTATTGATGATTTTTTTAGATACACTACAGTTTATTTGCTTAAAAGTAAAGATGAGGCTTTTGATAAATTTTTAGTGTATAAATCCGAGGTGGAAAATCAATTGAATAAGAAGATTAAGAGAGTGAGATCGGATAGAGGGGGCGAATATATTTTAATAAATGATTTTTGTGAGAGGGAAGGGATTATCCATGAGATAACTCCCCCGTATTCGCCCGAATCAAATTGAATAGCGGAAAGAAAAAATAGGACATTAAAAGAAATGATGAATGCTCTTTTAATTAGTTCTGGTGCTCCTGATAATCTGTGGGGGGAGGCTATTCTTTCTGCTTGTCACTTACAAAACAGAATTCCTTATAAGCATAATAAGAGAACACCCTATGAATTGTGGAAAGGTTATGTGCCTAATTTGAAATATTTGAAAGTGTGGGGGTGTTTGGCTAAAGTCTTATTGCCTGATCCTAAGAAGAGGAAAATTGGTTCTAAGACATCCGATTGCATATTTATCGGTTATGCTGAATGTATTGTTGCTTATAGATTTCTTGTTTTGAAAAGTGATGTGCTTAATTGCAATACTATTATTGAAACAAAAAATGCTGACTTTTTTGAGAGTGTGTTTCCTTTAAAACCAGAATACAAGACCGTTGCACCATATCGTGAAAGTGAGCCATTAAAAGAAAATAATGCTTTTAATGATGAACCCTCTAATTTGAGAAGTAAGAGGCCAAGAATAGAAAAATCTTTTGGAAATGATTTTTATACATATCTTGTTAATGATGAACCTTTTACTTATTCACGAGCTATTTCATCAAAAGAGGCTCCCTTTTGGCTTGAGGCAATTCAAAATGAAATTGAATCTATTCAGAAAAATAAAACTTGGATTTTAACTTATTTACCTAAAGGGTGCAAACCAATCGGATGTAAATGGATTTTTAAAAAGAAATTTAATCCGGATGGTTCAATTGACAAATATAAAGCGAGGCTTGTGGCAAAAGGATTTTCTCAAAAACAAGATGTTGATTATTTTGATACTTTTGCACCGGTAACGAGAATATCTTCCATTAGAACTTTAATTGCCTGGGCTTCTATTCACAAACTTCTTATCCATCAAATGGATGTTAAAACGGCATTTTTAAATGGTGAATTAGAGGAAGAAATTTATATGGTTCAACCGGAGGGTCATGTAGTTTCTGGACAGGAACACAAAGTGTGTAAGTTAGTCAAATCTTTATATGGTTTGAAACAAGCTCCTAAACAATGGAATGAAAAATTTGATGAAGTATTATTTGCTCAAGGTTTTACCTCACTTGAAGTAGATAAGTGTGTATACACTAAAATAAAAAATGGTGTGTGCATTATTATTTGCTTGTATGTGGATGACATGCTAATATTTAGTAGCAACCTTGAGTTAATAAATGAGACAAAAGCATTTCTTGCTTCAAAATTTGATATGAAAGATTTGGGTGAAGCAAAATTGATTTTGGGTATTAAAGTCATAAGGAAGGATGATGGTATTATACTATCTCAAGAGCACTATGCTGAAAAACTTCTAAAGAAGTTTGGACATTTCGATGTCAAACCTGTGAATAGCCCTTATGACTCTAATACACATTTGAAAAAGTATAGAGGTGATCCTGAGGCTCAATATGAATATGCACAAATAATTGGGAGTTTATTACATTTAATGAACTATACGAGACCCGACATAGCTTATGCTGTCAGAAGATTGAGCCGATATACCCATAATCCAAATGGGGATCATTGGACCGCGTTGAGGCGGTTATTGAGATATTTGAGAGGTACCATGAATTATGGTATATTTTATAGAGGTTTACCCGCTGTACTAGAGGGATACAGCGATTCTAACTGGGTTTCTGACTTAGATGAGATTAAATCCAATACTGGATATATATTCACCCTTGGAGGTGGTGCTATTATGTGGAAATCAACCAAACAATCTCTCATTTCTAGATCCACTATGGAGTCCGAGCGTATAGCATTGGAAGTGACTAGTAGTGAGGCGGAGTGGTTGAAAAATTTCTTAGCAGAAATTCCGGTTGGTACAAAACCAACACCTTCAGTGTCTATTCTTTGTGATTCCCAAAGTGCAATAAATACTGCTAAGAAAATGTGTTATAATGGGAAGAATAGACACATTCGTTTAAGATATAAAGTCATTAAACGATTATTAAAGAATGGAATTATTTCCATTAATTTTGTGAGGTCAGAAGGAAATCTAGCGGATCCTTTGACTAAAGCCCTAGGACAAAAAATGATAAGTGAAACCTCGAGGGAAATGGGACTTGTGTCACTTGATTACAAATAGGGATGGTAACCCAACTTCTGTGATTGGAGATCCCATGAAGCAAGTTCGTATGGGTAATAACAAGTCTTCTATTTGTTCTGCTAGCCTTATTACAATGTCCCATTTATATTGTGTGGAAGGCTAGACTGCATTCGCTGTGAGGTTAAGCTAAAACTCTTAATGATTTTCATAGCCCTTACGGGTGGTGTGTTAAGTGCAGAACACACTTGATGAGATCACCTATATGAGTGTGAGGTGGGGCCGCCTCCATGAAGCCTTGACAATGCTTCTAGAGCACTCACGAACACCAAGCACACACACGGCCGAAATGCGCACCATGGCGTTAACGCGAGGAGTTGTGCAGGGTGAGACATGGCCATTAAGACCCTGATTTACCATAGTAGCTTCTTGGTTCATAGAATCTATACGTTTCACCAAAAGCTCGGTTTATAAAGACTTAATCGTCTCGGTTTGGTTCATAGTCTATGGACACCAAACTTAAAGTCTCATTCCTTTAATCCAGCAAATTTTTAAAATGTTTTCCTCAAAATTTTTATTTGAAATATGTGGGGGATTGTTGGAAATATTTAATATATTTCAAATAAAAACTTTTGATTTAATTAGTGTCTAATTTAATTAATGACCATGCACTTAGTTGTTGTTTTGACTGAGTGGGTTTTCTCAACTACTCCGTATCTTCTAACGTGCAGATTTTTACTTGGCTGAGCTTTTTCCTCTCCATATTTTTAGGATCAATAACAATATTATTGTTCCATCCTTTTTCTATTAATAAATGAGAGTGCTCATTCTGTGGAGATAGTTCACGAACTAATCTGCTAAACACCAAAACACTCTGCAACTCTCTGTCTTCTCCAAGTTTTACATTTAGAAAAAAATGCTTTCATACAAAAGCTTGTGCTGGATTAGTATGGTGATTTCCCTCGTAGTTCTTGTTCCGACTTATTGTCGAAGGGCTCGTTTAATCCTGGGGGAAGATTTTCGTTCACCGGAAATACTTTCAGAGGACAGCGTTTACGCGTCTCGAGCCGTTGATTCTTTTGTTAGCTTTCTTTGCAGGTGTATCATTGTGTTGACGATGCTAGACCTGTGTACCTGCGGCAAAACTCCTTCAAATATGCATGAAGATGGAATAAGTTGCTGCCATGCAAATAATAAAGAGGATGATACGGAGGAATTTCCATGCCGCTGCAAACTGCCGGAGGGGAAGATAGAAACTGCTCGCCGGAGTGCTGCACGTTCACCGGACATAACTGGACGGCCAGGAGCTAAGGATGAAGTCAATTTATCAACAGTGTTAGGAGCCCTCCTTAATTGAGAAGTTAATGAGAATTCTAGAATAGTGCGGAGATGTCTAGAATTCTCTAGATGTGTGTAGAGAAATATTGAATGTTCTAGAATATTCCGGAGCTTTCTAGAGAGCCGTGGAATTATCTAGAAGCGTGTGGAAGAGTGTAGAATATTCTAGAACATTGTGGAGTTTTCTAGAGAAATGTGGAATTCTCTAGAATCGTGCGGAAGTTTGTGGAAGCCTCTAGAACATTCTCAAGCGATGTGGAGTTCTCTAGATCCTTCTAGAAGATTAGAGAAGCTTGTGGATAGTTTTTGGAAGAATCTAGCTAGAAATGTAGTGATGCATATAAAGTTCTAGAGAAGCTTTGAGATGAGTTGTATAAATAGGGGTGAGATTTCTCATTCCTAAATGAGAGAGCTTAGTGAGAGAGCCATGTGAGGGCCTAGAGAGAGCCTAGAGAGAGCCTCCTCAAGTGATGAGAGAGAGAGCCTTGTGGAGAGCTCTTGAGCGAGTGAGTGCTTCCTTGAGAGAGGTGTGTGAGAGTGAAGTAGTCTCATACAAAGAGTGATGTGAGCTACCCGTTTACTTGTAAACTATCTCTTGTACATTTCAATTGTATAATACAAAGTGATATTTTAGATTGAATCTTTGTGTTACGAGTGGGTGGGTAAATATACAAGAGTCCTTTGAGCTGGTGATCCTGGAAGAGGTCGGGGGTCGTGTTTTCCCAACAAACAGATCAATGAATTTCTCTCATAACTTACCTCAATAAGACCGACAAAAAGAATTGTATGATTTATTTTACAGTTTTCCATTGTATAAATTTGCAGAATAAACTTTTCCGTTCGTCGTTGTTAGTCTAGTCCGGTCAAGCGTATAGAGATACGCAAGGCACTGCTCCTAAGTCCTAACTAGGTTAATTGGAAGCATCCGAAGTAAATCAGAAGCGCAAAAAATTTAGGGCGGAAAGCTTCGCCGCTGAAAACATTCAAGCTCAATTCGATTCTTTGCTCCCTGGTTGGACGAAATCGGGAGAAAGGGGCGCTTCTACAATTCTACCCGTAGACAATCCTCCTTTCGTTCCTTCCACTACTGGAAATCATACGCTTCAAACAAAGTGCTGAGGTAGCATTGATTATTAAAAGGGTATAATAGGAATTAAAGATTAAAGAAAATTACTACGGAAATTTTGTGGCTTTACTTAGCAAATGTAGTCCCAGTTGGCATCAAAGTCTAAGATGCCAACTGGGATCGAAGTCCCAACCGGTGATTGACGTGCTTCTAAACTATGCGACCGTGAAACCTCGACACTTTCGAATGTCCTCTTGAATATCCTCTCAAAGGGTTATAGCTTGGGGTAATAAACTGTGGGTAAGATATTCTATAAAGGGCATTTAGGACATCTTAGTGTAAAAGGGGTTACCAAAAAAGAAAACGTAAAAATTTAATTGGGACGTCCCAAAAAAGAAAGTGTAAAGATTTAAATGGGACGGAAGGAGTAATAAGAACATTATATTTAACATACAATTACATATACACACATGTATGTGTGTGTGTAAGAAAGAAGAAATAAAAAAGTGATTTGTAATCATGATGATAAATTGTATCGACATACCGCATACACATACGTAGTACTCCCTCCGTCCCGTAAAGAAGTTCCTTTTCGATTTACGATGTTTGACTGATAATAAAGCATCTATATCTCCGTTCACACTAAAAATAAAATTATTTTTAGTGTATAGAATTTATATATTCAGAAAGTACATTAAAACCACTACAAAGCCTGATCAGGGAAATTTAAATTTGATAAAAAAATTGATATATAAACTAAAAGATTAGGAGTGATTCAAGTCGACCAATGAATAGTGAACGAGAACTTCATTTCGGGACGGAGGTAGTATATTTTAGAAGGGGAGGGTTCTTATAAGTGAGAACTCATTTTAAAATAAAAATTTTTAATCTCCATTATTAATTTTTAAAATCAATGGTTAATAATGACAATGTGACATTTTAGTAAATATTTAGGATTAATTGCAGAAAAGTTCCACTTGAATTTGAGGTAATTATGAATATGACTCCATATGAAATTTGACCAATAATTGCAATAGATAAAAGGTTGAGATTGAAAATCCTCATTATAAGGTGTTCTATAGGGATGGCAACGGGGCGGGTTTGGGGCGGGGGTTCACTCCTCCATCCCCGCCCCATGTCTAAAAAGTCCCCTCCACCCCACCCCATCCCCCGCTATTCCCCGACCCGCCCCATCCGCGCCCCACCCCATTGTCCCCCACGGGTGCCCCATATAAATTTTATTTTGTATTATTTGCATATTTTTTAACCTATTTTATAGATAAATGTATATGTAGCACTAAAAGAGGTAAACTAGATAAAAGTTAATTCCGCCAATTTTTAATAATTCTTTAATTTGAATAAGTTATGTGAAGATAATAAAAGTAAAATGTAAGTAAACATATTATCAACTTGTATGTCTTTACAAATTTCTCATCAATTAAAATACAATTAATTATTTATATTGTACATATATGTGTGTGTGTGTGTGTGTGTGTGTGTGTGTGTGTGTGCGCGCGCGCGCATATGTGCGTGCTATTTCCTCACTTTCTCACTTTTAAAACACATCTAACATATATGATAAGTATTTTCAGTCATTATGTACTCGTATTAATAATCTAATATAATAATATGCATTAGTTCATTAACCGCGACTAAACACATACATTTATATATATCCATATGTACATGTATATGTGTTTGTTATATACTACATATAATTTAATTAAATATGTTTAGACATTATTTATATATGTATGTTGATATATATATATATATATGTGTGTGTGTGTGTGTGTGTGTGTGTGTGTGTGTGTGTATTATATAATTTGAGTTTATATTTATAACGGGGACGAGGCGAGAACAGGGCGGGTGTAGCAATCCCCATCCCCGCCCCATATTTTAGCGGGGATAAATATCTCACCTATCCCTATCCCCGCCCAACCCCAAACCCCACCCCATCCTCCCCCAACGGGGAGGTTCCCCATGGGCCCCACCCCCATTGCCATCATTAGTGTTCTCATGGAGGGGTTCTCACTAGTCACTAGTCACTAGAACCCTCCCTATTTTAGAAAACTTACATTAAATAGTGTGAATAACCGAAACTCAAGGGGTAAATAATTGATTTTAAATTAAAAATGCAAGGTTAATTAGCAACTTTGACAAAATCTTAGAAGGCTAAGAGCATATCCAATGGTTGCTTTTAGGGACTTGCTTGCAATTTTGAAGTTACTAGCCTACCATCGGATCATTACTCTTCCTTTTACTGGAGAAAGCTAATTAGCCTAAATGAGCTACCAGCTTGAGCAAAGAGAATTATTAAATATAGGGAAAATAACTGTAAATAATACAAACTATCTTCCGTGAACCAAGAATAATACGTACTTTAAAAATAAGTTTTAATAATTCCAACTATATAAATATAGACCAAAAGTGATATAGAGCATTTTTTACTAAAAATTCAACCATTTAACTCATCAAAACTTGTATGAAAATATCTAATTAGTGAATATATTTCCATATATCATTTATTTGATGGGTTGTCATTAACTTTTGATGTCTTGAATGATCAAATTTTTTGTCAAAAAATGGCTCCATATCATTTTTGTTTGACATTCAAATAGTTGAGATTATTGAAAATCATTTTCGTAGTTTGTATTATTATTGGTTCATGGATGATAGTTTGTATTATTTAAATTTATTTTTCTTTAAATATAGCATTATAAATAATAAATGCAAAGCAAAAAAGTTAAAGCTAACCATTGAAGTATATTTCAATTTTGCTACAAATGCTTATGTGGCTAGTCAAGCTATAAGGGCAATTCAATTAGGTAACCGCTGGGCGCTGGAAATACTCTAATGATCTCTTAAATGAAACCTTCAATGAAAAGTTAATATTACATCAAAGATTCAAAGTATCAAACTCTGGAGAAATGAGATTATTATTGCCTCTAAAATGCAACGTGTCATGTAAGTATGTAACGTATGCATGATCAGTTCGATAACAAAAATGTTTTGTTCACAAAAGCAAACCATTTCCTTCTTTAATTCGTTTTCAATTAATTATATATAATCTTTTTTTACATAATAAGAGTGACATTCTACTGTATGTTTACCCCCTAATTATTAGTATAAATATATTAAATCTATTCATGAATGGCAGACTTGCTAAGTTGCTTAGGACTTTTATATATTCCAATTGCTATGGACGGGAGGAAGTGAGCAACAATTATCTTCGTATGTAAGTGATAAGCCATAATGACACCACACTTCCACAGTTTGTGTGCAATAATGGACCGTATAGTATGATATGAAACAGTTCTTAATTCAATTCTAACGGATGATCAAATCCTCGCGATTATGAAACTTATAAATACTTCGGTTATGAAATACGGAGTATCAGTTAAACTCTTTCTTTTTTATGGTAAAGTCCACAATTAATTCATATCTAACCGAATGTATCTTAGTTCCAAAAACCGAATGCATCTAGAAAAGTTGCCACACTTTGGGGTATTTACTAGGTATCTCGGAAAATTTGCAACTTTGATAAAAAAAACATTGGGATGCAAATTTGGTCATGTAACTAAAATATTTATACACATTAAAATGGACACAATTAATATTTACAGGATCAAACTCGCAAGTGAACAGAGTTATAAAACTAAGAGTATGTTTGACACAAGTAGCTGAAAAGATACTTTTATGAGCTTTTAATAACTGTTAGCTTCTAGTGACTGAAAATATCTTAAAAGAAAAATGTTGTAGTTTTTTGATAAAAAAACTAACTGTTTGATTTACTTTTGTTTGGTATTACAAGTTTTTGTGACTAATTAATGTTAAAAGCTACTGACTTTCTCCCAGATGCTACCCACTGTAGCATCTAAAAAAAGATCTTCTATTTTGTAAAAAGCTCTTAAAATTTGTTCTAAGAGACACACAATTAGAAGTTTTTGAAGACTTTTTAAATAGTACAAAAGGCAGACGACGTGAGTTTTTGGGTATGTTTGGCACAACTAGCTCAAAGATACTTTTGTGGGCTTTTTAATAACTGTTTGCTTTTAATGACTGAAAACATCTTAAAAAGAAAAGGTGGTAGCTATTAGGTAAAAAACTGACTGTTTGATTTAAGACAATTAAATTAGTGTGGTGCATGTTTGGCAGACATAAGTCTCTATCTTCTAGCTTTTGTACTGTTTAAAAAGTCTTTAAAAGTTTCTAGTTGTATGCTTGACATGACAATTTTTTAGAGCTTTTCAAAAATTAAAAGATCTTTTTTGAGATGCTGCAGAGAGTAGCAACTCACAAAAGCCCGTGACTTTTAGTATTTGTTAGTCCTAACAGCTTGTATATCAAACCGAACTAAGGGTATGTTTGGCACAACTAGCTGAAAAGATACTTTTGTGAGCTTTTTAATAACTGCCAGCTTTTAGTGACTGAAAAGATCTTAAAAAGAAAAGGTACTAGTTGTTTGGTAAAACGTATTTCAACAAAAGTTATCATGTCAAACATATAACTAGAAGTTGCAAAAGTTAACTTATATTTGTCAAACATAGCCAAAGCTAGATGACTAAAATTGCAAATAAATCTCGCTTGCTCAGTTGCTCTCTTCCGATTCCAATTTAATTTACAAACCAAAATCCCTAGCTTGATCGACATGCATCATGCATGATGTGTGGAGCAGTGGAGGAAAAGAAAAGTAGATGGACCAGTTTTAACTTACGCTCTTTATCTCTTCAACCAATTAATAATTAATGTAGGAAAGACGATACCTCAAGGAATTACAGTAGAATGAGGGTACATTACTACATTTGGTGTTGCCTCTTGGATAGTGATTTGATTTGAGAGGTGAGAGGTCTTACTATAATTGTCAAGTTGAAACCTCATACTCCGTATTAAAAGTAAATATACAATTGTATGGTTGTATAGTATAATGATAATGATTTTCATCTAAGCTCATAGTAACCTTTTCTTAACAAATTTAACAAAGAATATCGCTTCACGTTGACT